AATGGCAAGACTCCCTGTGTTCATTCATAACCAAAGCAGAGTAAACTGTTTTTTTTAATTTTTATTTTTGGGAGTGGGGGGGCTGTCATGTTGGCTGTATGGGGTCCCGTGGTTTCTAACAGCAGCCCTGCCTGTAGGTACAAGTGAAAAAAAAACAACTTCACTACCACTTTAAGTAGTGGATGTGTATGGATTACCCTTGAGCCCAGGTTCACATATATGCGGTGCGGTACATCGCATGTGATTCTCACTAGAACCGCACCGCATTCCTGTGCAAATTACATGTGATTTGTGTGTGGTGCGATTGGAGCGATACATTTTGTATGGCTCTAATCGCACTGCACCTGCACCAAAAATGTGCAGTACTCTTTTTTTGGTCCGCACTAGAATCGGATCGCATGACTATTCACACCTATGCAATCCGATTCTGCACATCGTACTGCATTTTGTGGACCGCTTTGGAGGTGTTGTTGACTTAACATACACACCAGCAGTGGTTCGCATGAACGGGGGGTGCGATTCTGATGCGGTGCAGAATTCACACAGAAAACGCTGCAAATTCCGCACCATATCAGTGTGAACCCGGGCTGAAGAATAAGGCTATTGTTTAGTGTCACTTTAAAGCAGTATTAAATAGAAGACCAAAAATGTTATATGTTGCAGCTTACCTATCAGTTTTTCTTTTTTTAGGCTTTTTTCCTTTTGTTATGTCCAGTAACACACCTTTTGTATTAAACAAGGGGAATGGTGATGTGCTACCCCAACCCAATAGGTAAGTGAGGAAATTAAATATATGTGAACAAATGAGTGCATATTGAACTATACCTCACTTACATGTGGTAACAAAAGAATGAAAAAATCATCAGGGGAAAAAATACACAAACATAAATGGAATATGCACAATGCAGTGAATATTAAAGTGAATGCAACCAAAAAACGAATAAAGTGAATAAATAAATGAATATCAAGGTACTAAAATGTCTTGAATCTCATGACATAAAAAATCAATTGTGCCAAAAAAAAGTGAAAGGACAACAATGTGACCAAAAACAATATATTGTGCACAGTCCAAAAAACAGCTTTGTGGTCAATCGGTGACAACATCCGGTGATCAACACATGAATCCGCCACCATCTAGCATGCATACTCACCTCCACGCTGCGACCCCCAGGGGTCAACACACTTCAATGTAGCCCTCAGTGGAGCAATCCTAATCACATCTGTACCCTTGGCAGCAATCCAGGAACTGTAACAATAGTGGTGGTATCCTCTCACGAAGGTAGTCAGCCAAACACCTCTCAAGGGGTCCCCATAAAGAGGTTAGAAAAGAAGGACTCCCATAGTGTAGTAAACTTGAAAATTTATTTAGACAGGAAAAGCCAAAAACCTACAGTACTTACAAACAAACAGTGTCTGCAGACCCACAAGCATAAATCCTGCAGAGAACACACAGGGTGTACTTGCATGGGTGAAGCAAGATGGTGGCTGCCGTCCACGTCGGAAATGACGTCACCGCACTTCCGTCCTACACGTTGCGTCACGAGTCACATGACTTCCTTAGGCCCTGAGGAAGTCACGTGACTCATGATGCAACGCGTAGAACGGAAGCGTGGTGAAGTCATTTACAGCGCGGATGGCAGCCACCATCTTGCTACACCCATGCAAGTACACCCTGTGTGTTCTCTGCAGGATTTATGCTTGTCAGGGGGTATCCTTTGCATAGACCCTGTCCCTTTTGTCCTGCATGGTGAGAAGTCTCTTTAACCACTTCTGCTCCGGAAGATTTTACCCCCTTGCTGATCAGGCCATTTTTTGCTATAACACACTGTGTTACTTTAAAGCGGAGCTCCACTCAAAAGGGGAAGTTCTGCTTTAAGGACTGGTTCCCCGCTCCCCATTAGGAATGGCACCTTTGAGGGAGCGGGTACCCGAAATTGACAGGTACCTGCTCCCACTTCCACTGCGATCGCCTAGGCGATCGGAAGTTGTCATCCTACCCTCCCTCCTCATAGTGTTCTGGGTCACGTGACAGGTCCCAGAAGACTACAAGAACATTCAGAAAGTGCAGCGCTACTCGTGCATGCGCAGTGGGCACCCGGCTGTGAAGCCGCAAGCTGTCACAGCTGGGTTGATGACAAAGATCCCCCTGCGCTAATATGGAGACCTAAATCAATATGCAGCTAACACCCTATCCTCTACCTATATGTGGACAAGTGCACTGCGTTTATCCGTGTATGGAAGAGTGATCAATACTGGAAGGAAGTTACCAGTGAGGGTCAGTGGAACCAGATCCAAAAGGCGGTTTGACCTGTTTGGGTCGCATCAAGGAGGTGAGGGGGCATGCCTGCCATCTAAGGATATATGCTCACCATCTGCACTAGCACTGAAGCACTTTTTTTTAAGATAAATGGCACTTCTTTGCATTTATTGCAATTTTTGCATTTTTCTGCATTCTTTTTGGACACTTTTGCAATTGTCCAATTGCATTTATGAATATTGTATTTGGGTATTTTACACCAGTCACTTTATTTGATATATATCCCACTTTTGGGATTCACTTTATATACCACCTAGAGTTTGGGGGTTTGGTCCCAATTGGTATTGGCTGTTGTCATTTTACGAGGGTCCCTGTACAGGACCAGCTTCATCATATGCACTTTGTGTTATTGGTATTATCACAGTTTTAGACACCTATTTTTAGATCTTGAAGGATCTATCACTTCTTTATTTATATACCATTTATGTATCTTTTCATATTATTTATCGTGTAATTTGCACATTTAGTTTCAGCGCTACACAATTTTTTACCATTTTGTCACAGCCGGGTTCCCACACTAAAGATGCCGGCGCCTGGAACACCAGACGGCTGGTGAAACGGGCTGTGGGGAGGACACCGTGGGATCGGTAAGTGGCTGTATTTTAACAGTCAGCAACTACAGTTTTTGTAGCTGCTGACTCTTATTTTTTCACAGTGCGACTGGAACTCCGCTTTAACTGACAATTGCGCTGTCATGCAACACTGTGCCCACATGAAATTTATAGCATTTTTTTTCACACAAAGAGCTTTCTTTTGGTGGTATTTGATTGCCACTGGGGTTTTTATTTTTTGCGCTATAATCAAAAGACTGACAGTTTTGGAAAAAAAATTACTATAAAACATATCCACTAAAATTTTTTAAAAAATCTAATTTCTTCATAAATTTAGGCCAAAATATATTCTGTTATATATATTTTTGGTAAAAAATCCCAGTAAGTGTATATTAATTGGTTTATGGGAAATTTATAGGGTCTACAAACTATGGGATATATACTGGAATTTTTATTTATTATTTATACTAGCTTGACGGCAGTCAGCGACTTATAGCAGAACTGTAATAGTACAGCGATCAATCTGACACTTTGTGGGGACCAGTGACACTGATAAATTGATCAGTGCTAATAATATACCCCGACACCGTATTAATGACACTGGTTGGGAAGGGGTTAACATCTAGGGCCAATCAAACGGTTAAGTGTATGCCTAACAGTGCTTTATATGTGTACCTTTACAAAGGGATGAGCTGGTTTTATTCCCTGCTTTGCAAAGAAAACATAAAATCTGCACATCTCCGCTGACAGGGCAGAGCTCTGTATTGTTTACATAGGCAGAGCTCTGTCCTATCAGTCTCCTCGTCAATCACTGGGTCCCAGCAGTCAATCACTTGCTGGGACCAGCTTATTGGCTTGTGCTGTGTCTAATCACCGCACAGCTGGGGGTGGCGGGCGTGCGCTCCCTACCCGGAAGATCTGGCTCACATACTAGGTAAGTGATGCAGTCAGCAAGAGGATAACTACACAAAAGGTTGCTTAAAGCAGAACTAAACTCTCTCAATCAAGAAAACTATTTTTAATCCTTCTGCTGCTAGCCTTAGTAAATTGGAAGCTCTATTATACAGTATTTTCTTGTTTTAATCTTTTTTTTTTTTTATTTTTCTGCAGTTGCTTCTTGGTTTCTGGCCTAGGCCAAAATGATATACCAATCCTGCATGCTTGATCTAAGGGCAGATGGATTGCTGCATGAATCATCTGCCCTTACACAAATTGGCCAAGTGATTTCCCAATAAAATAAAGCATGGAGACATGGATGGATGGGTGAGTATGCTTTGAGTATTAAATATTAATTAAATAGCGTTCTATTTTAAGCCTTTGCAACATTAATACATATGTGGTCCATATAGTGAATTGGTTTTATTTCCACAGCACCATATCATTGGCAAACACAAAGGAAGCATTAATCCCCCAATTGGCCCCAATCCTACAGCCCAGTGAGATGTTAAGGTGAGGATCAAGCCATTAAGGGGTACCCCTATTAACCTATAACAAGCACTTCTAATTTCTTAAGCCTTTGCAATCCCTGATTAGAAATGGTCCATGAGAAGCAAAAAGAAAGTGTTTTCCATATGCTCTTACAATGCTTGGGAATGAAGACATTATCTATTATTGACCAGAAGGACTGGGAAGGAGGACAAGGTTGGGTATGGGTTTCATTTGCGCTTCCGATTGGTGTTTATTTAGAACATAACTGAGAGCTGTGTTCACCAGTATCAACCTCCAGTTGTCAAACAAGCTCATTAGCCATTTAATAGGGGGTAAAAAAAACACCACTTCTGTAGATAATTGCTTTTATTGTGACCTCTGAAATATTATTGGAAAGATGAAAGCATTTTATAGTAACTCTGTACATCCTGCTGTGATCCAAGTGATAATAAAAGGTTTGTTGGTCCTTTGCGCTTGCACATGGTGAGGAATTCAGATTGAGGAGTTGAACATTCCTATATCCCCAAGAGGCTGACTAGCCATAGATGTAATAACACACAGTCCTTGAGTAGAAGCAGACAGTGTGTGATTCAGCTGCAGCCCTCTCCCCCCTCACTCCATCCATTCACTGCTCTGAAGACAGCTCCACTAAGCACTGAGGCTGCAAACTTCTTCCAAGCTCCCGGACTTACTCCTCTCCTAAGATGTTGTCACTCTGGATTGCATTTCTTCTGGGCACATCATGTCTACTTCTCCCCTCACTGTCTGAGCCTGACAACCTAAAGGTGAAACAGAGAGCCCTTCGCCAGAAAGACCTGGAAATCATAGACAGAGTGAGTGAAATCTTCTTTCATCCATTCTTTATGCCTCTGAACATCTCCATCGTTCTCCTGCAGGATATCAGCTTTCTCAAAGAGCTTAACAGGAACATGTAATGGTAGACATATGCAGCCGCTGTGGTTTTTCAAATGTGGTGGGGCTACCATTGAAGCAGGACACCTAGATCTGCAAGCCTAGACTGAGCCTAGGGTGCTGCACTCTAGGGAATTATGTGGCCAAGCTTCAGATGACTTTCGTGTGTACAATCATAGTGTGTGGAGGCCTCTGATACAGATTAGTAGAGGTGATATCACAGGGTTTCACATGATGTCCACGTTGACATTACTGGCCAATGAGCATCTGACAAATTAGGTATAGGTCTTTGTGATAAATTATGAGATATCATTAAATGTATATTGAATAGTACTGGCTATTCTGTACTTATATGGTCACTCAAATGTCACAGATAAATAGAGATCATGAAAGTCAACAGCAAGGACACACACTCAGTGGGCTTTAATTTTTCCCCACCTTATCCAATCACCACGTAATACTCAAACAATTAACCCTCCTACACTGCTTATACAATATCACCAAACTAGCGTGGGCACCTGACCTTCCCACATATTCAATACAAGCTTATTGCACATCCCATTCCAAAGCAATGAGAATTTATATGAGCTTGACCACTCGCTTCCCTTTGCAGATATTACAAGCCTCTAGTCTTCTGGGAAGGCTTTCCACAAGGTTTTGGAGTGCTTATGTGGTAATTTGTGCCCGTTCAGCCAAAAGAGCATTTGTAAAGTCAGGTACTGATGTAATCAGAGTTCCAATTACTCCAAAGGGTTTGAAGCTCTGTTTAGGCCACTTAGGTTCCTCCACACCAAACTGTTTAAATCTTGTCTTTTATGGAGTTGGTTTTGTGCACAGAGGCACTGTCATACATTATTGGAACAGAAGGCAGCTTTCCCCAAACTGTTGCAACGAGGTTGGGGGCACACAGTTGTCTAAACTGTCTTGGTATGCTGTACCATATAAAGTAACCTTCACTGGAACTTCCTAAACCCGATAATTTGGAGGGGCTATATAGGTAGATGTGGTAGTCAGGTAGCCACAAATTTTGACCATATAGGGGTATAATACTTGTTAGGCCAACTTTTTCACCAGACAGGAAGTGTTGGAAACTCTCCAACAGCAACACAGAAGTAAAAATGCTTTTATTTTTTTTTAAATCAAGTATGAGAAGGGTACACCCCCTGCCAACTTTGTATTGTCTGTTTTGCCTGGTAAAATGTTGTCCCCAAACCAAGAGTAGAAATTGAGCAAAACCTAATAAGGGTTCTAATCCTTCCTCACTCTATCCAAAACTTATAAAAAATAATCGTGATAAATAAGCTTTAACCTAACCTTTAAAGTGAGCCAATCCCTAACCTAACCTTCAAGTTAAGTCCTAACACTGACCCCTATTCTGCTGTCTACTCATCTTGTCCTTCACCATGAACCTCTGTTGCAAGAATCACTGAGATTCCAGTGCTAGAGAAACTGTTGCGGAGTTTTGGTGTGTTTCCTGGATAGTCAGCAGAAACTCTAGTAAAGTTTTGAGGTCAACCTTGCTGTTGTAGAGGTACATAGCTAAAAGAGACAGTTAAAGGGTTTCCCGATAGCCTGGCCTCTAGCAAGGTCTATTCACTTATCCACACTCTTTTGCCAAATCCCTGCAGCAAGAGTCCACCTTGAGTAAGCTCTGGTGCTGGATGGTATCCGTGCTTCTCCAGATGAATGATCTCACTGCCCACCCCACTTAACAGTGTTTGTGTCTGGTGATAGGTTGCTTAGGCCTGAGCACTATTACACAGGGAGGCCATGTGTCCCCTGAAACTCAGAAGCTGGAGGTGGTGAGGGAGCAGTGATCAGTGAGTATACCTTAATGGGTGGGTTAGCTATCAGAAGGCACTGGGATTGAGTTATTTACTAACAGTAAACAGGTTGGTCACTTTACAAGGAGGCTGCACTTTTGAAAGAAATTTTCCCCAGAGTGTAGGGATATTTCACTGTGCAAAGAATACCCAATAACGTGCTAGGAAAATAAACAGCATTTTTGCTTTGCACATGATTGGATGATGGATGTCAGCAGAGCCTCACCTAATTTGCTAAACTTTCCCTTGCAAAAAAATAACTACCCTTTCAAAGTAAACTGTCTATTTGCCTATAGTAAATCAACCCCACTGCCACTTCAACCCGAATGGGCAGAGTGATAGTGTTTCTTTATTTAAAAAAAAAAAACAAAACAAAAAAAAACATGACTAATTTCAGTAAATTCGAGAAGACTGGGTCCAGAGAATGGCAATGGCTTCCAAGAAATTGTTCATAAACCATATCAGACCACTCTATGGGCTGTAAATGTTCCACCTCATCCCATTGACCAATTGGACCTGTGCTGGAGACCAGCGGTGTATTTTGTTTTTGTGCTGGCACACCCCCCCCCCATCCAAAACACACACACACTCTAAAAAAGGAGAGAAAGAGAAACTTTCCTACAGCACTCACCTCCGGAATCTAACCAGCTGGCCATACCTGGTGACATGGTCAGGAAAGCCCAGTGTTGTCCTTGTGTGGCCTCTACCTACACCGTCTAGCAGCCTGTCTTGGATCCCATGGCAGAGCTCAGGCAGTGCCTAATCTAATCCCCATCCTCTGTCACGTGTGTCGTTTCTTCCAAAGGGGGGGGGGGGCCGTGCTGCCCCCCTGAAAGATGTTGCCCAAGGCAAACTTCTTGTTTGCCTAGCTGTAAATATGCCCCTGCTGTACACTCTCCTTTGTACCTGAAGGTTGAGTTTCACAGCACATTGAGAATGGTGGTCAGAGACCATCCAGAAAGAGGAAGGCTTATGGAGTAATGACAAGAAGGACTGGATGCAGGGCCTGAGTTATTCAGTGGTGTCTCCAATTTTCACATCAAAATGACACTAAATGATATCATTATTCTCCAAGAATAATCCATACACATCCAATACTTAATGGTCTTAATTTATTTTTCATGAAATCATATCTTGCTCTGTGGTTTTGCCTCCTCCGTGAGCTTCTAAACCTTGTACCCCCTCACGTCTATTTGTTTAGAATAACTGTCATGTGCACTGCTTTATACGCACCTCAAATCCCATACTCCATCTCTGGAGTGAACAAAAGAGGGTGGCTACATTTCTACAGACAGTATGGCCATGGAGAATGAACACTGCCGCCCTTTAAGTGCCTGTTCACATATATGCGGTTTGAACCACACCCAATATGAAAAAACATTGCTTCCTATGGTGCCTGTTCACATACAGTTGTGTTAAAAAAATTAGCAGTCAGACATCACTAACCTGATCAATCACTGTTTTTGGTAGAAATTATATTTCTACATGGCAAATAATTTACTATCAGGTGTAGTAGAGTAATAGAAATCCAACAGACCCGACAGTCATGACATGCATGCTGCTGATGCTGTGTAATTGAATCACTAATTGAAAGGGGCATGTTCAAAATAATAGCAGTGTGGAGTTCTATTAGTGAGGTCATTCATTCTTTGAAAAACAGGTGGCAATTATTGCCCTTATTTAAGGAAGGAAGGCAGCAAATGTTGAACATGCTGGTTACAGTGCATTTCTCTCTGAAATTCTGAGGAAAATGGGTTGTTCCAGACATTGTTCAGAAGAACAGCGTACCTTGATTAAAAAGTTGATTGGAGAGGGGAAAACATATAAAGAAGTGCAGAAAATGATAGGCTGCTCAGCTAAAATGATCACAAATGCTTTAAAATGGCAACCAAAACCTGAAAGACGTGGAAGAAAGCGAAAAACTACCATTTGAATGGTTAGAATAGCCAAAATGGCAAGGACTCTGCCAACAATCAGCTCCAGGAAGATCAAAGAAGGTCTAAAGTTACTTGTGAGTACTGTTACAATTAGAAGACGCCTATGTGAAGCCAAGCTATCTGCAAGAAGCCCCCGCAAAGTCCCACTGATGAAAAAAAGACGTGCTGAAGAGGTTACAATTTGCCAAAGAGCACATTGACTGGCCTAAAGAGAAATGGCGCAACATTTTGTGGACTGATGAAAGTAAGATTGTTCTTTTTGGGTCTAGTGGCTGGAGACAGTTTGTCAGACGACCCCCAAACACTGAATTCAAGCCACAGTACACTGGGAAGACAGTGAAGCATGGTTGCGCAAGCATCATGATATGGGGATGTTTCTCATACTACGGTGTTGGGCCTATTTATCGCATACGAGGGATCATGGATCAGTTTGAATACATCAGAATACTTGAAGAGGTCATGCTGCCTTATGCTGAAGAGGAAATGCCCTTGAAATGGGTGTTCCAACAAAACAACGACCCCAAACACACCAGTAAACGTGCAACATCTTGGTTCCAGACCAACAAGATTGACGTTATGGAGTGGCCAGCCCAATCCCCGGATCTTAATCCAATAGAAAACTTGTGGGGTGACATCAAAAATGCAGTTTCTGAGGCAAAACCAAGAAATAGAGAAGAACTGTGGAATGTAGTCCAATCATCCTGGGCTGGAATACCTGTTCACAGGTGCCAGAAGTTGGTTGACTCCATGCAACACAGATGTACAGCAGTTCTCAGAAACAGTGCTTACAACTAAATATTCATTAAGTGATTCAAAGGAAAGCAAAATCTTCAAACACTTTTCAGTTTATATAGTGAATGTTTGAGTTTGTAAAGAAGAATACAAACACTGCTATTTTTTTGAACAGTCTAATACTCACTTTTCTTCAATTTTTTTTAGAGGAACAACACAAATTTGATATATTTTTCTTCATGTTTTGATTTGGAATAGAATGTGTAGTGTTCCCAATGCATTTGTGTGTATGGAAATAAAAGTTATTAGAAGGATTTTGAGCGTTATTCACTTTTTTCAACACACTGCTATTATTTTGAACACAACTGTATGTCCAGTGTACTGACAGTGCGGTTTGAAAAAGACTCATGTACGATTTCTGAGTATTGC